CTCTCTCTCTCTCTCTCTCTCTCTCCTCTCTCTCTCTCTCTCTCTCTCTCTCTCTCTCTCTCTCTCTCTCTCTCTCTCTCCTCTCTCTCTCTCTCTCTCTCTCTCTCTCTCTCTCTCTCTCTCTCTCTCTCTCTCTCTCTCTCTCTCTCTCTCTCTCTCTCTCTCTCTCTCTCTCTCTTTCTGCCCTGCAAACTGAAAAGTGAAATATTTGCACAATTTATCATGCTGTGCTGCTGTTTGGTGTATGTATGGTGTTGTTTGGTGTATATATTTATGTCTTCTCAAGAGTAGTGCCCCCAATATGCCTGGCGTTCTATCGCGTGCATATGAAGCTTCCCGACATTCCGAAATTGTCATCGATAAACTATATGCATTTCAGTTAATGTAAAACAGAACATAAGCACTTCTTCACGCATCATTTCAGAAAATGGATTTCCACTTTTCTCCAATACGCCCGGGCACATTGCCTGGCCTTGATAATATATTTCCCGCTCACTTCATCAAACACGCATTCCGAGACAACTGCAATGCGGGGAGACATTCAGGGAGCGCCTGGGTGGCCGGCTAGATACCCTTCACTCGGGTGGGGGTCAATTTGACACCGCTAAGATCTCGGGAACAAAGAAAGCTAAAGACACCAAAATTACAGGGCGTCTTAAACAGTATGTGGACTCACTTAGGTCAAAGCTTAAATTTCCTATGTCGGGGCCTTCAGATCAAAAAAGGTCAAACAAGGTCGAATTCCGGGTTGGTCTCCAAAGTGCCCACCGAAACCTAGGCAACTGTTTCTAAGCAAGAGGTCACAAGTCCATTTGAGGTCAGTAACCTTGTTTGACCTTTTGAAGGTCATGGTGACCAAAATCATACAGGACTGCTCCGAGGTCTGCATTTGAATAAGCGACAAAGATTACGCTAGACATTATGTTCCTAAAACAAAATGTCGTCCCGGGTCATCTTAGGTCAATGACCTGTTATGACCTCTAAGAGGTGAATGGAAGATGTATCATGCGGCTCCTACTGTCACTAAATTCGAAATGAGCACCAGAATGCATCCCATACAGCAAACCCTAGAGCAATAAATCAGGTTGGTTTTGACCCTCCTCTGTCCTTCATACCTGACCTTACGCCAGCGTTATTTGCTCCTTCAACATGTGTGGTGTCTAAGAAGGCATCTCAGAGATGTATGGTTTCGTCAAACACTCCGTTGTTGTATCAGATTGAGCGGTTCCCTAGAAATTGCCTTCGCTGAAACCATGGCCTGACTTTGACCTACCATAGGTCAGCGACCTAACGAGGTACATCTATTTTTTGTGTCAAACGATCTGCTATTTAATTTCTACAGCTATGCAAAATTTAGCGCGCCTTCGCTGCGCAGTTCGGAAACCCTTCTGAAAAACCTTCGGAGGGGGGGGGGGTCAATTTGAACCCCACCCGAGCGCGTGTTAAGTTTCCGTAGGGCGCGTGGCGTCGGTCCCCTTGTAAATTTTAGGCGGTGGCCGGTAAGAGGATGAAAACGGCAACGTTTCTGAAAGAAGCATCCTTCAAGGCTATAAGATGTCAATTTGTACGTGAAGAACGTAGTTAATCAGCATGTTTCCCCGCGAAATTCATTTATCTATAATATGATCGGATTAGGATTAACAGCACCGCGAACCGGTGCCAGAATTTTGTTTTGGAACTTGACAAGCAAACATAAATCCCTTTTCTCTTGTTGCTGGGCCTTTTTATCTGTTCAGAGACTTTTTCGAAATTGAATGTGTGAATCCTTTTTCCCAAGTCTAACTTTGTAGCCGAACCAATTCATTTTAAAAGACTTTCGAAGGCATAATTTCACACTGGCTCCTCTCGGGCGCCTGGCTTCCACACTGATGATAATATTTAAACGGGGCAAAAACGTAACCGGACGCACTGATAATACGCCCATCTGGCAATGGTCCCACGCAGCTGGCGAATTACATTGGCAGGGGCCCTATGGATAGTAACCCTGGGGCTCCCCCCCCCCCCCTCGGCCTTAGCCAACCCACGCAGACTCCGCGCACTGGGCGCCCCGTCACACTCTCCAAGCATTTTCATACCCTGGCGCGCACGTCACCCCACTCATTCTTGTCTCGCACACGGATGGGACCCCTCCCCCTTTATCCAGCGCCTTGGCATTATAATTGACTCGTCTGCGTGAGTCCTCGTTAAGCTAAGTGAAAGTTATTTATCACATTTCAAACATCCAATAAAGTCACGCTTAACACGCGCCTGGGTGGCCGGCTAGATATCCTTCGCTCAGGTGCAAGGGGGGGGGGCAATTTTCCCGCTGAGATCTCAGGTTTTTAGAAGCTAGAAACACCAAATTTGCAAGGTATGTTGATCTGTACGTGAACTCACTTAGGTCAAACTTTAAGGTTCTTAGATCATGTCCTTCAGGTCACATAAGGTCAGACAAGGTCACATTCTAGGTTGGTCTTCAAAGTGCACCCAAAACCTAGATAACTGTCTCCAAGCAAAAGGTCACAAACTCACTTAAGGTCAGTGACCTTATTTGACCTTTTGAAGGCTATGACGACAAAATTAATACAAGACTGCTCTGAGTTTTGCATTTCAATAAGGGACAAAGATTACGCTAGGCAATATGCTCCTAAAAACAAAATGTCGACCCGGGTCATCTCAGGCGAATGACCTATTCTTACCTCTTACAGGTCAACGGAAAATGTATAATGCGGTTCCTACCATCAATAAATACGAAATAAGCACCAGAAACTATCCCATGCAGCAAGCCCTAGAGTAATAAAACAGGTTGGTTTTGACCTTGGTCTGACGTCAATGCATGTAATAACGCAATCACATTTCTTTTCGGTCTTGCGGTTTCTTGCGTCTATGGGATAGAGGGAAGAGCACTCCTGGTTACCTGTCCTTGGGTACCAGTAAAGAGAGAAGGAGAAGAAGCTACGTCAAACAGTTTTGAGTATGCGCGCCTGCAAACGCGCCTGCAAACTTACTATTAGGAAGAAGGACCTTTATGCTCAGCGATGCAGCCTGCGCAAACCAAGCGACGTCTGTCGTTGTAGCCAACATCAGGCGGCGTGCGCCGTGCCCGCGAACAAGGGGTCCATAGCCGGCCAAATGGCATTGGACGTCTTTTGGCCTCAAGGCGACGAACAAACAGTCGCAAGCGGCGGTGGAGGACCGACGGGCAGACAGAAGTAATTATTTGCTGACTGAGAGGGTGTTATTGACGAAAGTTCAGGGCTCATTAAGCTATCTAGAAGCCCTACGCTGTTGCCAGCGATCTACATGTCCACTTGCGGGGTCAGCGCGATTGCTAAAGAGCCTTCCACATTACCCTTGATCGATTTCCTTTTACTTGGAGGGCCCTACGCTGCTGTCGAGGCCCTATCTGGTAGCATGCGGGGCACTCTTGTCGATCAGGTGTCCCCATGGATTTTTCATATTTCCCCGAAATATTCTATACGCTAGAGCCGGTGTCCATATGCTCGCCTGCCGGGACACTCTCGGCTCAGGGGCACTTTATATTGGTCTCGGGATTTTTTCCGCTTGCTCGGAGGGCTATGCACTGTTGCGGGACCCATATAGTTAACGCACTGAGGCAATGGATGCTCGGAGGTGCCTCTGCACTGATCTCAATCTAGGGGTTCCTGTGATCTCATTTGCGGGGGATTCTTTATTTTTTCAAGGTCCTTTCTGCACAGGAAGATGGGTTGTCATATACAGATAGCATACACAAGAATCTTAAAATTTTGTGGCCCAAGTGGGGGGATTTTTTCTTTTTGGACCGGATCCCAAACTTCAGGGGGTCCCACAATGTTGCGTGCCCCCCCCCCCCCCTTCCCCTGACGAAATCCTGGATCCGCCACTGACTGCATCTGCCATGTTTCGATGCCTTCCCGTTTTAGTTTCAGTTATGGAACATAAGAACTGAAATAAAACTGCAGCCTGCAGCACGACAAAAATAAACCTAACGAAATCGCATTCTATAAAAGCAAGCGGGCTAGCAGTAATTTTTCGGGTGGCGGACGCACGGCAAACGGCTTCAGCAATATGCTTAGGTCTGCTCATCGACCCGCCATCGGGCCGTCCAGGCGTGTATTGTAGAAGTCTCAAGACCCTCTGATTGCAATGGGGTCTTTTGTCCATCTTGGGGGCCTGTGGTCACCCCATGACCGTGAAACCGCTATGAAGCTGCGCGGCTGTCTCGGCGATCTATAGCACGGGGCCCCGGGATTACCTCACTGACGTCTGGCTGTCCTGGGGCCCTGAGGCTGTCTTGGGGTCCTGGCCTCATCCAAGGGACGTCTGATGCTGGGCTCCGTGGTCATGCCAGAGCGCTGTGCTCACTCTGGGGCCCCATAGTCGTCTCGGGGCCCCGTGGACGGATTCCTCAGACCTGTGGGGTTGGCCAAAGCATCAGGTGTTCCTTGACATTTTCAGGCTAACAAGGTGGCAATTCTACTTCCTGCCCTGTGGAGGAAGACCTATCGATCGTAATGCATACAGGCGAGTGTTACACGTTGCTGTACTTCAGTGTTACCCGTGGCTGTACGGTTATGGCCTGGAGCGGGGCTCGGCCTTTGCATTGCTTGGATACAGACACGGGTGCTGCTTTACAGGCATCCAAGCACGGTTGGCGCTGGCCGAGCCGCGTTATGGGGTCTTGGTCACACGGCGAAAAGGAGCGCGGAGCGATTGTTGCTGTTATCTTATACCCAATCTGTCTGCTGTCCTCCTCCGGATCTCAGCTGGATTGTTATAACGAAAACGCATCCTGAGTGTTGAGTTCGAATGTTTGCCATATACATGTATACACACAATTCATCATGTATGCTCTTGCGTGTGTATGATGCATGTTTCATGCTGAGATCATATCTGCCGTGTTGCAACGAGAAGGCAATCTTCTGTGCTGTCGTTCGTTCATTTGTTGCTGCACGTGCAATTGACGCGGACGACCGAAAATCGATCATATGGAGGGTCCTATACATGCATATCATGCATAATGAGTCGCATGTCAAGGCCAGGTGCCATACGAGACCTTTCCTTTTATTCCACACAGCCCCAACCGTGTTCATGCCACGCTCGCACTTCAAATGATATATTTGTAACTTAGCCTTGGGCGCGCTGCTCTCGCCAGGTGCACCCGACACGGTCGTACATCCGACGCTGACGACCGCGTCCGCAGTCTCCCTGGTGACAATCGGCCTACCGGACACCGCGTGCGAGTTCATCACGCACGCTGGGCTGTGCCTTAGCTAATGGCCTTGGCACACTGTCTCTGCATTCTGAAGTTAGCTAAATATGGCGGTGAATGCTGAATCCCTCCCATGGGGACCAGCAGGCGAGCGTCCCGTTGTCGTGGCGCACCCAGACATTTCTTATGGCGCATCACCGTCAGCTACGGAAACTGGAGCACGGACAATGGTTTCGAAAGGCGCATCTCATGCTGCACCCCGAACTAGCCACACGTCTACGGGCCGCGCAGTTATGATCATATACGTAGAACAAAACGCACAATTAACACTTCAAGTACGAAAATCCGACGCCAATGACGCGGTCTTGGCAGCACCAACCACCTCGGCTAAGCCAGGGCAAGCCAGTGGTGGGTTAAGACGCGGTCTGGTGGGCTATGCAGGCTCCCGAAGCTGGTATGTCTGACGCTGGTGGCGCGTCCACACAGAGCCCGATCGCGCGTCCCTGGACTCGGCCTGGTAGTCGTCGCGTTCATCCGAACGGCCGCTACTCGTCATCGTCGTCCCGCTTACCGCACAAGCAGAAAATGAGGCCGATCACGAAGATGATCACTGCGGAGAGCCGAGAAAGATAGTCAGTGGGGTCAGTGGGCCCATCGGCTGGCATGTCCTGGCTAGAGGGATCCTAGCGCGCGCTAGTCAGCATGTCCTGGCTGGAGGGATCCTAGCGCGCGCTAGTCAGACAGTGCGAAGGAAGAACGTGAGCCAGATGTGGTTCTCAAATCGTGCGAGATGCGCACAACTCTGGCGACGTGAAAACCACACAGGGCCTGCGCGTTTACGTCCGCACCACCCCACTTGGGCGCTCCTTATTATCTCCACTAGTTGACAGATGCATAATGCTAAGGCAGCACAACCTCATGAGCTCACAACGTGCATGCATGTCAAATTCGGATCAACACGCTAAGGAACCTAAATCAATAAGCGTGAACTAAATGGGCGAATAAAGCACAAGCGGCCCAACCAAAACGTCAGCTAAAACCTCGTGATGTCGAAGGATTGACAGTCTTACGAAATGGCAGCGTCCTCGCCAGCTGGCTATTATTGCGAGGCTCAGCAGCAGCGTCCGTCCACGACCAAAACGTAATGATGCAGCGATGGTTCAGAACAGAAAATACATTCAACTGTAGAACCAATAAACCGGGTTCATTAATCGCTCGCTGCGTAGTTCACCGCAGCCACCGACAGAAAACACCGGCCAGACCGAGTGGCGACGTCTGCTTTTTATCTGAAGCAGCTAGAAAATTTCGCTCCGTGCGGCGGATGGTACCACACGCCGTCCATGCGACACCACACGCCGTCCGGACGATACCACACGCCGTCCGGACGACACCACACGCCGTCCATGCGACACCACACGCCGTCCGGACGATACCACATGCCGTCCGGACGATACCACACGCCGTCCCGCTGTAGACTCACGCCCGATGACGAGCGCGACGGGTCCGACGAAGCCAGCGACGCCCATGTCCTGGATCATAACCATCAGGTAGCTGTCGGTAGGCGCGTAGGCCAGCACGGTCAGCACAAAGCCAGACACGAGCAGGGAGAAGCCCAGGTAGGTCAAGATGATGATGGGCACGGCGCCGATCCTCGAGAACTGACGGCAGATAAGGGGACATTAGAGGGGCAGCCAGACCGAGTTACCGGATCAGTCAGACAGGGCCACAGGGTCAGTCGGACTGATCACAGGGTCAGCCAAACCGGGTCACGGGGTCAGCCAGGCCGAGTCACAAAGTGAGTCGGACCGGGTCACACGGTCAGCCAAACCTGGTCACAAGGTCAGTTGGACCGAGACACAAAGTCAGCCAGATCGAGTCACAAAGTGAGTCGGGCCGGGTCACGCGGTCGGCCAAACCTGGTCACAAGGTCAGTTGGACCGAGACACAAAGTCAGCCAGACCAGGTCATAGGGCCAGCTGGGTTGGTCCAAACGGTTGATGCGGCCGGGTCATGGCGTCAATCGAACGCGGACACAAGGCTGGCCACAAATTAGGTGATAATTTTTTCCCGGAAAAGAGTCAGGTCTTACAGTAATTTCATCGGAAAAATTTCCTCGCCACTTTTTCAACACCTCCTTTGGGAACATGTCAAAGTATACGAGATGTAATGGTGGTAATGACAACCGATGGGTGTTATTCCATGATACAAACGTGTGCAAGTTAACAACATAGTAATCAGGTTTGCAGAACATAGCTTGCCCACCGGCGTACAACTTGTCAGAATAAACAGTCCCATTCCTTGCAATAAATGCTAATGAAAGCAATGATGATGTTCTTTACGCACGCTCTAACTCACACACTACAGTAAGAGATGGTAGGATCAAAACCTCAGTGGGAAGGTTGGATTCAATCTTCTGGTCAACTATTTTGGAAAAATTTGAACGTGCAATGCAACTCTGCGACGCGTCCGCCCCCGACCCACGTAGTTCAGCACAGTGGTCATATATTTGCAGGCGTGTCAGAATAGTCATGGTACCCTAACTGCTCTTGTACCCTTCTCGCAACTTCCGGTTCTGGTACCTTAGTCGTTCGCTAGAACTACGTTGGCTGTTCAGTGCATTATCGAGGAACATTATTCACGCAGATAAGACGGTAGTAATAGCCTTATTCCTCGCAGAAAAGCCAGGATAATCGAGATATAGTTGGGTTGATACTTCGGCGACATGCCTTTATCGAAACAACAGCAGAAGTGAATTCAAAATTGCCCGCCGATGATCCTACTCGATTTTTTTTTTAAACAGCATGCCACAGTTTTCACGGGACACACCATTGAGGGAACTAAGCAAAGAGTAATTGCCAACCATTACCACGATACAGTGTCTATCTAAGAATTAGATTACGCGAACACACGCGTACATGCAAACCAATTCAAGTGAATAGGCATCACGCATCACGCCCCATTCAAACATGCAAGCGAGTTGTAGTAAACAGGCATCACACATCGCACACCAAGTATACGATTTCAATCGCAAGCGATTTCAATTAAGCAGGCATCGCACATCACGCGTCAGGCACCACTTACGCATATAAACGATTTTAAGCTAGCACACATCACACATAAAAGCACATATCACGTTCGCATAAAAGGCATCACATTCGCATAATAGGCGACCAAACTTTTCATACAGGGCTCATTATGACTGATTACGCAAGCATGATATGCGCTTTATGCGTGATGTTTCCTAACTTAAAATCGTTTAAACGTGTAAGTGATGCCCGACGCGTGATGTGCGATGCCTGCTCAATTGAAGTCACGTGCAGTTGATGTGCAATTGATGCGCAATCACATCACACTTGCACACCATGTGCAATTGATGCGCGATGTGTGATGCCTGTTTACTTCACCTCGCTTGGATGTTTGAATGAAGCGTGATGCGTGATGCCCATTTACTTGAATTCGTTTGCAAGTGCACGTATATTCGAGTCTTATAATTCTTAGATAGGCACGGTATCGTGGTAATGGCTGGCAATCGCTCTTTGTTTATGTGGTGTCCACACATGGTTTGCTGTGACAAACTGTACTCTTAGTATCCACCTCTTAAAGCACTTACGGCTCCACCCATGCTCGGCCATCTTAAAGTGCAGTCCTACTTTGAAAACCCACGCGTATGACCTCGCCTGTAGTCCTGCCGGCTCGAGAACGCTATAGTTTAATCTGATGAATGTTGGTGTCCTGTAAAAGCAGTGGCTTGCCGCTTTAAAAAAAACTGAAAAATCAAGTAGGATCATTGATGGTCAATTTTGAATTCACTTCTGCAATTGTTTCGATAAAGGCATGTTGCCGAAATATCAACTCAACTATATCTCGATTCTCCTGGTTTTTCTCCGAGGAATAGGGCTATTACTACTGTCTTCACTGGAACTAGGCCAAATCCCTTCTGATTGCAATATTCACCCGTTCAATTTTAGAGATATGGCACAGACAAACATCACGGGCTCTGTCCGGGGGGGGGGGGGGGGGGGAGGGAAGGATGAAGCATACCGCAGTAGTCAGGATAATCCACACCACCTTCAGGCGCAGCGAGGCGTAGACATTTGCCATCACTCGATGCAGTCGAAATTTCAAATGGAAGTGAGGCATGTTTCACCTGTTTGACAGCTTCAATCTTCACATTCAATGGAAATACCTGAACAATTTTGCTCCAATGTTGGCATAAAAAGGCTTCCGTCAAAAGTCACATTGAGTTACCAAGGCTTGTCTGATGTCACTCTTGCGAGGGTGGCGTTTCTGATCATGCGTGACTCGCAGACGTTCAATCTGAGACGCATCATAAGATCTTGAAGCAAACTCTACACACTTTCACCACTTACAGCGTGACGAGATGGACGTAAAATTACTCATCGTGATTTAACGTCCAGGGTACGTTTTCTCCCACTTTTCAAGACTGAACCAACAGACGAAAAAACCTGATCATTTAGCTTAGGTTTTGTGATCATTCGTGCGGGTTTGTCTTCTTTTATTCATTCTTGCATGCCATGCATGTTGCATTCAAAGATCACAGACCGTTCGTATCGCCTTTAGTTTTGCGATGATTAGTAGCCGTGATCGCTTAGTGCAAGACCTGCTTGACAGCGACTCCACACTCTAGTGTCGCAAGAATAACGACTGCAGCGCGCAGGTATGGTTTAGCTAACTGCGTGGCCATTATGAAGACACTCGATAGACTGGCCCAGGGCCAAAAATTCAATTTCTATTAACCTGTTTTGCACACGACAGATCCAACCATTCTAACGCATTGGCATATACGTATGCAAATTCCTTGCATGCATCACCAAGTGACAGACCAATGCCACAAATGTTTGGTTTTTCACGTGAAGTTGATGCTTACGATCCGTCCATTTACCAGAGGTTTTGTGAATGACAAATGCCATAGACTTCGAGGCGACGACGAATCTATCTACACTGTTGATATTACCATCAAATCCGGTGCTGAAGCATGCTAGAATGAAGTGATTATGATTACAGTCTATCAGCTGTGCATGATTAATCAATATGGTTCAATCCTAAGGATCCCATTGCATTGTGAAGTAGGGTCCTGGTCGGACACCCGTGCTCTCCGGTCAACAATGAATCTTTAAAGTTGCCGTAAAAATAACTTATTTCGTAGATCCAGTTCATCAACGGCGCAATAGCGTCGGCTTACCGAGGACAGCGCTTCGAAATCCTCCTCATAGCCGCTGCGCTTCATTTTCCTTGTGATCTGTAAAGTACAACGCAGTTAGAGTTTGACAGGTCAGACTGTAATAAAGCGTCACTGGACATTCGTGTAAGGCGCTAAACAAGGAGAAATCAAGGCATTCGGCTCAGTGGTTTTACGGGCATTTTGAGAGAGGCATTGATACGAATGGACAACTGTTTGTACTATCGTCCTCGTCTGATGCGCTGGTATATACACAATGAACAGTTAACCCTCCGGCCGTTGTCAGGTGATGAAGTCTTCAGAAGGAGTGAATGATGTTCGGCATAAGGCATTGCAGGACCGAGGAAATGTCATCAGCGATTTTGACACAACTAGTAAGAGAGAACTAAACTACCTAAGAGGCGTACTACAGGAACGGCTTCCCGAAAGGCTTTATAGACCGGAAGCCCAAAAGACATGATTAACAAGCTGGGAAGCCAAATCCAAAGAAACAACCGACAATAACGGTACCAAAATCATGCAGCAAAGGTTTGTCAGAAAAGATCGGAAGGATCTGTGGACTATGCAACATCAGGACTGTCACAAATGTCATCAAGTTCTAACACCTGGGTAGCGTCATTTCCGGTTGGCCCAGTTGGTGGAACACTGGACTCGCCGTCAAGAGGTTCTCGGTTCGAATCATAACGATTCCAAGGAAAAAAATACGGGATGTGACGCGTGCGGCGCTAAGCCAACCGAGTCCATCATCCAGCCCGTTTGAACATTCAAGCACACGCCTCGGTAGCCAGACAATATCGAACAGTAACGGTCAGCAGATGCGGACACACCAGACAAGGGCGCTATTTCCCAGCAATTACTCGATTCTATTCTGCACGGCGCCGCTGTCGGATAATTTGGTGCAAAACACCACGCCCGTCTTCACGGGGTCGGGTCTAATGCTCAGCCGTCGGGCAGGGCAGGGCAGGACGCGGATCCCGCTCTCTCCACCCTCCACGCTCACGAGCCGCACCGACCCGCAGCGATGTCTCGCTGCCACTCACGAGACACTGGCTTCAGACGGATCGGCGGCGTCTGTTGCGCGACCGGCAAGTGCTGACAAAGCGACCTTCTTCGCGAGCGGCCACTTCCTTTGTCGTCGCACAGTTCTGCTGCCCGTCTGGCAATAGCGGCGACACGGCACCGTATCAGCACCACGGGCTGAGCCATAGCCGATAGTGCGGCCGATAGCGACGTATCTGCGCACCTTTTGAACACCCCCTCCCGCTGGTCGGACAAACGGCCTGCTCGCGACTGCCATGGCTGCATTCCTGCAGATACGGCTGTGCGGGGGTAGTGACGCGGAGGTGGTGGCGCTGCTACTGCTGCACTGGTGAAGCCATGCCGATGCCTCAAGATGTCTGATGCAGCGTGGAACACTGGCGGCGCCAACTCCCACGACTGAGCTCTGTCAGGTCTGGCCTCCCTCATCCCTCGTCCACTGTGCTCTGTTAGGCCTGGCCTCCCCCCCCCCCCCTGCCCTGGTCCACAGAGCGGGATCAGCCCGCGTACTCCCAGGTCGTCACTTTCCGGCGGGAGCCCGGGGCCGCGTAGCACCGCGACGCCCGCCCGATAGGCTATCAGGTACTTTGTTTGCTGTGACACAGACTGAGCAGCAGTCGGGGCCCGGAGGTGTGCAGAGGTGTTGAGACATGATGGGCCTTGGCGAACTTTGCAGAGCGCAGGACACAGCACGAGACGGAGCAGCTATGGACAGACAATTAAATGGGTCTCTATAGGATACCAGAAGACAAGTGGAATCAGTGGCAAATGGTGCAATTGGTGGCAGGAATGAGACGCAATTCTAGTTACGTGTGTCCGCTAATCATTCTTTGACTGAATCGATCTGGACTTACATACCCTTGCAAAATGCAGTGCACCGGGTACAGGGGTAAGCCGACCGCCTCCATTATCTCAGGAGCTTGTATGCAAACAATTGAATACATGTGAATTGCAAAGACACGTTGCTTTCCTTCAGTGTGATTTTATTCCACTCGTGTTTTTTCCACTTGCTAAGTAAAATAGCCTGAATATTCTACGGCAACTCCTGGCTTGAGCTTCATCCAAACGAATGACTTTTTCACAAAAGTTGCGAGAAAGAAACATCATTCGCGCAGCTAACATTTTGGCACTGTTTGGCAGCTTCAGGACGGAAAACCGGGGCAAGCAGCAGCAAGGACACCAGTCTGCGTGGCCTCATTTATTGAATACCATGTAAGATGACATATGAACGCTGCCGCCCACCGGTGCGCGGGACCGACCCTCATTCGCTCTGTCGTGCGCACCAGCAGCGATCTGCCTGCCGCCGAGAGCCACCGGCAGGCGGCGGCACTGCGACGGGAGGGCGTGACGCCCCGGCCCCAGCGACCCGTCCGGTCCCGCCGGGCCAAACATCGAGACTCTCACCCGGGGACGCGGTCACGGCCACAGCGGCTCGCGGGCAGCGCGTGGACCCGGTCACGAGCGGGCGTGGCCACGTCCCCCTTATGATGTACACGACCGCCACAGATTCGCGTGCCACGCCACCCCGCACATGGCGTCCAGGACTGTATACGTGGCGCGTCTTCGCGGTGCAGTTCGGCTTCCGGAAATGTCATCCGGCCCAGGACCGCGCCTACCGGACGTCACGCCGTCGCCAACACTGCGCGCAGGTCGTTCGCCAGGCACGGCACGTGGCAGGGCGATGTGATCCGCCGGCCGGCGCGTCGGCCGCCCGCAGCCCGTCCTCACGCCCGGCCGTCCCGGTGCGCGCTCAACGCCTGCCGCCGTGGCCAGGCCGAGCCGCCGCCCCGGCGCGCCGGCGGCAGACGCCCGCCTACATCATCCGCTGGGCCCGCAACGGCGCCAGCAGCGTCTGCGCTGTCATGGCGTCGGGGAAGAGGCTGTGGTAGTTGATGAGCGGCACGTACGCGGCCGTGATCACCTTGCCTGGGGAGAGAGGGGCGGACGTAAGACTGCGGTGACGACCGCCGGCTCGGCCCTCAGACCACGCAGCGTTGCGTCCGAAACGCGGGCGGTCTTCTAGCACACTGATGCAAGCCGGCTGCTGTTGGATGCTCTGGCATTCTTGGGCTTCATACCGCAGGGTGGTGTCTGACTGTGCGGCGAAAGTTAGAGTACCGGGTACAACATCCTGCTTTCAAAAGTATTGGAAAGTGACTGGCAGAGCCGTCGAGTAAAGGGGGACACAAACACTCCCAAAAAGATCCACTAACTGCCGATGAATCCGAATCACGGGTATTTCACAGGCCCTTTCCACAAGCCAAAGGCTGTCGACAGCAGAATACAACCAAACAATACTTGAAATCGGTATTGACAACCCCAGCACTGACAATCTCTCAGAAGGGGGTCCGGAGTGCCCACCCCCCACCGGCAGTGCTAGTCCCCGTGCAACTGCTCACCGGCGAACCAGCGTCCGTGCAGCGAGTTGACGGAGGCGGCAGCTGACGCGATGCTGGGACACTTGACGTAGACGTTGCCCTGCGGCGACTCCTTGTCCACGTAGATGTGCGTCAGGCCGCCGTGTTTGTTGCACTCCTCGACCACATCGTCCCGGATCTCGGAGTCGAAGGACGGGTTCTGGGCGACGCTGCAACACCGCGGTGTTGACTGTTGCGACTCTGACCGGGATGGGTCGCCCAGAGCCGCGGCGTCCCATCCCGCGGGGAGGGCGCCAGGGAGGGCGCACCGCGGCGGCGGGGTTCCCGCGAGGTGCGCTGGTTTCCGCCGGCGCGCGACTAATCATCACCAGTTGTGTCAGGACGCCCACACTGGTGAAATCACACAGTCGTCCCCCGACTGTTTGTGGGGGAGGGGGGGGGGGGCAGTGGGGGAGGGATTGAGGCACTGAGCGATATCATTATATAGAAGTCATGACAGGATCTGCTGAAGCAACATTGTAAGCCCCATGTAACTGAACCAAAGCTCCGACGATTATACCCCTCCTCATCCCCGAAGACAGAAAAAGGGCTCAGAGATCCATATTTCATACACATCACAACTAGCTAGCAACACGCAGCAGGGAGCAAGACGAGCACATGCAACGTCCGCGCTGAGCGGCAGGCAGACAACATTCGGCAGACAGTCGGCAGAGGCGGCTGCGGTTCGGGGCGGTCCATCGCAACCGGAGGGACGTCCCAGTCAGCTAGGCGCGCTAGGCGCCACTAGTTCCCACGCGAAGCCGACCCAAGCCGCGGTCTTCTCCCCATCAGTTACCCCACACATGGCGAACACGGCCTACTCAAACGGGCATCCACCCAACCGCAGTCGGCAGGCCGGTGGTGGCGACCATCCGCCCCGGCACGGACTGCCACCCTGAAGAAGTCCGCCCACGCCTGCACCCTGCCACGTCCGCTCGGCGTGTGCCCACTCACGTGTTGGCGTCGAACATATTGGAGAGCATAAAGCACTGCGTAGCGATGGGCGGCGCGATGCCTGAGTGGGCCGCGATGCCGCCCATCTGGTTGTGGTTGAGCGCATTGGCGGCGGCCGTCGGCAGCTGCATGCCGGTGCCTGCCGAACGCCAACCGTCGGTCACAGTCAGCGTGACGCGGCAGCGCCGTCGGCGGACGCCGACCGAGGCCCGGCCCCGGCCGGGCTACTCTGTGACGGCGAGCATGGGTGGGCGTCCATGTGGCGACACACTCCATGAGCGAATCACGAGTGGCAGTGGTGGTCACTACTGACGGCTACCGAGGCGGACCGCAGAACCGTGCCACCCCGCGATGTCCGGCAGCCCCACGTCCGCCACCGGCATGGGGACGATAGGGCCGAAGTCGCTGGTTTGAGCAGCGGGGTTCATCCCTGGCACCAGAGTAAGGCGGCGACTCTGTGGCTGATGCATGCACAGACACACCTTCCGACATCTGGCGGCATCTGCAGTTTACGGAGACCGCATCGACGGCTCCCAAGACAACAGCGCCAACAGAGAGGCCCTTGGAAACGGACACAGGTAGTTCACATCACGTACTGCTACACACATAGAATCGATGCATCAATACCCGCCCCCTGGAATCCCGCACCCGCCGGCCGCCGCCGGCCCGCGACGCCGCGCGCCTCACTCACCCTCGGCCAGCTTGGCCATCAGCTGGAGTCGGCCGGTGGCGCCAAGGTCGACGCCCGAGCGGTCCATCTCATCCGAGTCGAGCAGGTTGGGCCCGCCGGCGGCCACCTCCGAGCGCTCGGTCACGTGGCCCACCTTCATCGGCCGGCCAGCCAGCTCAAACCCGTTCAGCTTCTCCAGGGCCCGCTTGGCATCCTCGGCGTTGTGGAACTGGCGGCGGCGGCGGACGTCGGGTCATAACCGGCAATGAGTGCGCACCGTACCACATGCCGTGCCCCTTCCATGACGCCTAGGGCAGCGAGGCAGTCGAAACCAGTTGTGGTATATAGTTACATCGACCACACAAATACTGCAACATTTCCCGCTCACCACCAACTCAAGGCGAAATTAGATTTGGACATTGAAAGCAGGAGAGGTTCGCATGACACACAATCACGCTGGGCTGTCGGCAAATATTAATGACCACCAGCAATAGCCGTCCAGTGTCAACAGCCGCCGTCCCACGTGCCCTCCTCCCCTCCCTGGTACCAAGCCGACTCCCGGACTTGACCGTGGTCCACTTAACATCGGGGGCAGCCGGCACCGCGTCCCACCGCCAGTCCCGTGCGCGGCCGACCGGCGGCGCCGCGCTCACCGTGAGGAAGCCGTAGCCGCGCGAGCGACCCGTCTGCGAGTCCATGATCAGCTGGATGTCGTCAATCTTGCCGAACGGCTCGAAGATGCCCTTGAGCATGTCCTCGGTGATGTTGAAGTGCAGCGAGCCCACGTACAGTCGCATCGAGCCGCTGGCGTTGGGCCGAGGCGTGGAGCCAGCCGCGGCCGCTGCCGCCGCAGCTCGGTTCTTCTCCGCCTGGGAGGGCGAGCACAGGTGCGTCAGACGCGCGCCAACTCCCCGTTCGGGATCGTGTCACGTGTGTAGACAATGTAGGGCCAGGCCGCAGGATCGGGTTGACGAGATGCGCTGTTGCTGCGCTGAAAGGCCGCATCTGAACACTATGAATGCGTGTCCGACCCTGGCAGGAGCTGGGCAGGACGAGTCTGACCCTGGCAGGGGACGAGCAGGACGAGTCTGACCCTGGCAGTGGACGAGCAGGACGAGTCCGACCCCTGACAGATGACCAGCAGGACGAGTCTGCCGTGACACTTACCTGAGAGGGCTGCACCATGATGGGCACGCCCAGCAGCTTCTGGCCGGTCAGACCCATGGCCAGCGGTACCGACTCCACGTCCTTGAACTCGACGTACACGATGCCCTTGAAGCGGCGGGTCTTGTTGCACATGATCATGCGCACGTCCGTCACCTGTTGGAGGATTCGCATGAGAAGTTAGGACCAAAGACACACACTGGTAATTGTGAAAAAATGACAAAAAAAACACATACCCACCTGCGGGACAGGGACTGACCATGGATATGGAGGCAGAAGCAATTATACTGATCACATGCAAACAAAACCTGACAAAGGAGAAGAGAGAAAACACATCACTTACAAAATCATGGGCAAATGCATTGCCACTTACAAAACGAATTCTGCCACACCTGGACGCACATCATATACAACAGGCACAATATCATTAATTCCCCAGACCATACAATGCGCCAGGACATTGCAAAAACACCTCTTCTCCAGGCCTCACCAGCGCGTCACGCACGTGTGAGAACAGGGCGGGGGAGAAAGCCGGGCACCAAGTCCCGCCCATTCTTTACGAACGCTCAGCATTCACCTTAGGCGAAGCACGTACGCACACCACACCACCACAAAGCGGATGATTCCACATTCTCCTCGTGGTGTTCGTGCGTCGGGGCGCGCGGCCCACCACCGCCAACTCTCACCTTGCCCACCGATGAGAAGAACTCCTCGACGTCCCTGGTTTTGAGCCGCTGCGACACCTGCATGCAGAGCACGGTGCGCGCGTCGCGCTCCTCGGGCGTCATATCCACGCGTCCACGGCCGCCGCCACCACCCCTGCCGACCGCGCGCCGGCAGGCTGTCAGCCGGAGCACGCGGCGCCCCGGAGACGTCCCCCCCCCTCAGATGGCGCCGTGGGTCCAGCCAACACACGGCACGCTCACACAGCACGGAAAGAACCGACTCGGTGGGGCAACAACCAATGGCCTCTGGTGGGCACTTCAAGGGCACAAATACGCCGTGATGGCACTTGGCTGTCGATCGTTTAAGCAACATGCACGCTCCTTGCAACGTTTTCCCCAACAGGCTCCTTACAATGCAGCAGTTTTGTGCCGGAGGGCGACAGCCCTTCAGCCCACGCACGGCACGGTCGGCTCATGCCCAGCAGGGCCTAAACAAGTGAACACTGGTGCAGCATGAAGCAAGAGCTTAAGGACGTCTGATCAGCGCTTGGTTCTTGCACCGTAAATAATCCTTCCGTCGGAGTATGACGCATTTCACAGCGGCATTGGACACCACTGGCAGATCCCCTACCGTAGATCACAGCCTGATAAACCCACTTAAAGCTGATCGCAAAGTGCGAACCCACGACTCGGGGTTACCAGTCGAGCCTGCCGCCGCGGCGCCTGCCGGCCGCGCTACTCACCCTCTGCCGCTACTGTGTCGCGGCGAGCGGCCCTGCCAGCGGCCATGGCCACGGCCTCTGTCCCGATCTCGGTCTCGGTCTCGGTCTCGGTCTCGGTCCCGATCCCGGTCCCTGTCACGGTCCCGGTCCCGACTGCGGGAGCGGTGTCGCCGGCTGCGGTCCCGGTCCCGGTCCCGGTCCCTGTCCCGGTCCCGGCTGCCGTCCCGGCTGCGGCGCCGCTTGCTGTCCTTGTCTCTGTCCTTGTCTCTGTCTTTGTCCCTGTCTTTGTCCTTGTCTTTGTCCTTGTCCTTGTCTTTGTCCCTGTCCTTGTCCCTGCTGCGTCGCCGCCGGTCGCGGTCTCGGCTCCGACTTCGGCTTCGGTGACGGTGACTGCTGCTGCTGCGGCATAGGGCCGTCGCTTGGTGTCAACAGACTGCGCATGGTCTAGTGCATGTCATGCCGGTCAAACCGAGACGTATATTTCCCACACCTTCGCCAGCCAGGATAAGTCAAAGCACGTCATAAATCTGTTGCAGCCGGGTCCTCACTCGACAACACCAACCTACGGCAGTGCATGATTCGCGACAGCACGAATGATCCGCTGTAAAATAGTTAAGGATTTTGATTGCTGTTGTTGATTGGAGTTTTACCCTAGTCTCTTAACTGTCATGATGAGCTTCGAGGAATGCCCAACGTTGGCGTTTGTAAAGACCATCGATATCAGACAAAATATGCTAAGACATCCTTATATAATGCGACTATGCAGCTACGAAATGCAATTCGATGTTGGGGAAAGCAAATGTGAATCTTGAGCGCAAATCTATACCTCGAATTTCAACACATCCAACTTTCGTTTTTGAACAAGCGAAGGACATCGACATAAAACTTCATAAAACCCTTTTACGAACGGAGAGTGGAGTGCAGTCACGCTTCTTTGCTACACCAAGTGCCACGAACGGATCACTAAGCTGCGATAGCCACCGCCGACGGTCCAGTGCACGCGTCACGCCACAGCCGGCCTCACCTCTTGGTGTTGCCGCTGCTGCTGCGGCCGTTCTCGGCACCCTTGACGTCGACCTCCTACAGCAGGACAGCACGGTGAGCACGACGCGCGTGCGGGGAGGAGGAGCAAACAGATCAGCAGCGGGCGGCGGCGGCGGCCGCGCCCCACAACAGCCGGCAGAGAGCGCGGCGAGCGAGCGCGGCAGCGGCACACGCGCACTAAGTGGCGGTTACTCACGAGCCCCGGCCCCGCGCAATGCGCGGCGCGCCCCGTACAAACCTGGTAGTAACGCGCTTTCGCTAAACGCCGACGAAATGCAACACACAATCTGCAAAATATTCTCATTTCAGTACTGGGATGAGACATGACGAGCGAAACACACAACAAATCACACCACGTTATGTGGAGAGAAACAACACCATTTTGTTTTGAGCACGACCGTTCCAGACAGTCAAGGAGAGGGGCAGCACGAGTATACATGAAGTCATTTCAATTTATTATTTGGGCTTGATGAAGCTGCAGCTGCCTGGCCAGAGCATACAATCACTTTGTTTGCTGTCCAAAACAACTGAGACTCAACTGGGATCATCGTGTTCCGAGCCGGATGGAGCTAACTGGCGTTACTGTTGGTAATGGTGCCTGGGCCTTTCGTCGACCGACACACGCAATGAAAAGAGAGACTGGCATGCACGCTACATGGGGACACACGACAGGAGGTGGCGCCGGTCGCTATCTGCCGCCGCGGCCTCGGCCACCCGACAGCCTACGCTGATAGGGAACGGTCTTCATAATCCTCTACACTATTAACTCTCACAAGTGATCTGAAACACAGACGGAACGGGCGCGGCAGTAGGTGATTGTGACCCACGTCTGGTGGCACGTCCACTTCACACACGGGGCGACCGGCGCGAGCCAGAGCACGCGCCACCCAGCCGCGCCGCCAGCATGGCCACACGCCGAGCAACAAGTTCAAGTGGCAGGGTTAGCCTCCAAAATATAGCGACTTTGGCGCAAGCTGGACGGCCGATTTAACCAGGGGAGCTACAAACTCTATTTCCAGTAATTCAGTACTCCCCTGCGATATGACGCTCATAATATCTAACCTTCATAATTTATGAAAAATGAGTAACATAATATGAAACGTATGCTTGCATTTTCAAGCCAGAAATGGGATGCCTTGCCTTGCCATTCTAATGTTTGCTTACACCGCACTGGCAGCGTCGGAAAACGCGAGCAGTCCACAATTTTGTGACGTGCGTTATAAAATGGCATTACACCATGACACATCACCAATGTATCCCTAGACCAGCAATGACACTAATAGCATTCTGCTGTTCACGGCATAGGGGAATAGCTAACAAGCACCAACAATGCGCATTTCCGCGTGACGAGGGAACTGGAAGCAGACACGCTGTTGGAGTCGCATGCTTATCGTGAATTTGCATCTTTTCCAGTGCTGCAGAAACAGCCAGTGTACCCCTTCACTTCAACTGACAATGAGTCACTAACTTGTATTCAACAATGCAGGTCCAAGTCACAGCCATACAATGTACACAGAAAGATGGACCATCACAACGCACATACCTTTTTGGAGTACGGTGCCTCCAAAAGTTCGTGCACGTCGAGGTCGTCAGCCATCACTGGTCTGTTGAGATCAACAACAGAACAACTTTGTGAATGTTTTGCACAAACATCTATTAATCTGAACAGCAGGAATAATGGCCATATGTCATTCACCTGACCATTATGAAAATGTGATTTGAAATGGCAGGATAGTGCGTGAAAACTGCACATGGCAGGATATTAGAAAGTTACATGCTCATAGTTCACATATTTTAGTCTACTTTCATTTCACACTCTTTCAAGATACAACTTACCAAAGAAAATATGTACTGGACCGCTGGACTATTTTCACAGTTCTCCTTTATGACTGCTGGGCGAATCTCCTGCAAATGTTGTTGTTGTTAGCATGTGACAATAAAAATATGGTACCATATCCAAACTAAAAAATAAAAAGGGAGCCTTCAAAACTTCACAGACCCAGTGCATCCCATATGATTGGATGGAGTTCTGGGCATGTGTCAATCCGAGGCCTTGCTTGTTGAGTAACCCTGACTCCCCAATACATTATGACATTCTGAGTCAACGGCAACAGCATGTGGTGAAATCTTAACATATCACAATGCTCTGTATTGTTGTTGTTGGTTGGAGTTTCAGGGCGCGTCGACTACTGCGGTCATTTTGCGCCCATAACAGCCAAATGACTAGCCTCGGAGTGTGACTATGAAATGACTAAAAAATATGTATTATTCAGAAATATAAATGGCTGAGTTGTATCAGGAATGCGTCATCGATACGAAACTTTTGGCAGCCTAAAAACTTATTGGGCCACCTTGAGGAGAGAGCCATACTGTGCTGGACATGTTTGACTACTTGCTGACAACATTCACATTGACAGGCACAAGGCATTGTAAACCACCTGATGAGCAACAACACACCAGAATGTCATGCCTATGTGGTTTAACTGATTACATGGGCAAAAGTGGTGTTCTGGGTTCTGGGGTGCAAACAATATGAACTGCAGTGTTCAAACCATTCAATCAACTGGATCACTGCAGTTGTCAGGGCATGACATCCTGCCCAGTACCTGTTGCCATTGTCAGCACCCCTATTACTAATGTGAACATGGGCGTGAAAATGTGACCACATGCCTCCCAGTTACACATAAATCTATGATTTCAGAAGATATTGAGTTTCAAGAAAGCTGTTATTTCAGTGATGTTAAGCACAAATCTTTCATAGTTGTTATAACCATGTTTGACAAACATTTAGCTTGGTTCTAGTTACAATGTCTGCCTAAAATACAGATGCTTGGTTTTTACAGATAACTGCTTATGAAATGAAAATTTTCAGATTTCAGAAGGCACCTGAACATGTCACAAACCTCCATGTAACACTGCTCTGCCACAGGGACCCAGATGAAATGTCCCACTTCACAAACTGCAGGAGACCATACACCCTATTTTGCACCACCAAAGTGTCTTGTATGTGGCCAAGTACTGTGGGCACAAACCAAAACTATCCTTCAGGTTGAGAACCCCCCCAACTGGTAAACATAATGGCAGTGTGTGACTGACACCTACCCAGTGGTTTGAGCAGACTCTGCTCACATCCCTCCCTCCATGCCACATAATAATGACAGTGTGTGACTGACACCTACTCAGTGGTTTGAGCAGACTCTGCTCCTATGCTTCCCCCCATGCCACATCAATTGAATGGTGTGTTAATTTGCTTAAGTAGTGGGGAAAGGGGAGCCCTGCCTCACACCAGCCACAAAATCTGAAAACCACATTGCAGAGAACAAAATGTGATTGTTTGCTTCATCCCTTTTGATGGATGAGGTGGTGCTAGAGGTTATTCAATGGTCAATGCATTGTGACATGCCGGAACTGCTAAGCCAAGATAGAAGTGAAATGATGATGCCTCCACAAGTTCTGTTTCATGCCAGCATTTAAGCTGATGCCACCAACTCTTGCATCAGATATATCAACTCCATAGGTTAGGTGAGAACTTGCAACATATCATCCCCAGCATATTAAAAGATGGGCAGATCCAGCAATTCAGTCTCATGGAGCTAACTAGTTGGCCCTACTCCCTGATGCATCACTTACTGGAAATACCTTTGCCTGATGCAGCATGAAAACAGCAAAAAAAGAATGTGCATAAAATTAAGTTATATGTGGTGACAAGAGAGAAATTGATTGAAACAAAACTGAACTGTAACAGGGTCAGAAAGTTTGGGGTGAGATTAAGCTTGGATGCTCTGGCAAACCATGCTAAAGCCTTTAAAACTTACTACAACCTAAAAGAGAGGGGATAAGGAATATGGAACACAATCCCAAGCAGACAGCTGTTAGCTCTCCCAACAAACAGCACATTCTTATTTGTATTGTTGTTATAGCAGCTTTGTACATGGTTCATCTTCATGAATCATCAGCTGAGGTTATAAGGCATCATCTCTCTCTCACCCTAGTGCAGACATGATGTGCCACAGTGAGTCAGTACCTGCACATATGGTCCCATTTCTGTATGGCACCATTACCTTAATTAGAGGTCAACAGATATTACCTTCTTGAATCTTACACCAACATCCCACCAATAATGAGATGGGCTGGAGTCACTTTAGGTCCTTGCTCTTTGGCCAACTGAGACAACCTATTGCCATTGGCAACAGTTGCTTTAGAAGTCTGGTGACTGGCACAGGTAGGACAGACCAGTGGTGCATTGCCTTGTGCCTTGTGGTGCATTAAGTTTTTGCCACAACATTATGCTATTGAACAGAAATATCATGACTGAAATGTGGGGGATCAGGGATCTCACAAGCATTGTTTAAAATAAGCACTAATCCCAGAAACCCTTTCAATCAAAAGGGTTTAACTTGTTTTTTAATGCACCACTCAGCATGAGTCACCCCACACACTTCAGCTCTAAATAAATACTTGAGGCTCATTAGTAGCATTTTCCACACATCCTTAATTGTACAGCAGCCTAATTTGGTACAAAATCTGAAATGCCCAAAATACGATCAGCAGGAGCAGAACCACGGTTCATCATCAGGGTTGTCAAAATGCAGAGACGTTTCATCAATGCTTTTTAATTCTTTGTCTGTCAACTTTCTGCTCAGCTTTCATGTTTGAGGTACCTCAAAATGCAGTCTGATGCTACAAAGTACAAAATGTAAGTTGATGGGCCGACATGTTTAAACAAAAACAGCTCCAGGGTGAAAAATTTATAGGTTATTCTACAAAGCCCCACAAAAGGCAACTGGCTTTCCTACACTTACAATTGTGTTCCACACATCTCCAAATTTGGTGTGTTTGGAAATCAAAATAAGGAAGACCCCAAATAGGGTACATGCTGAATGAACTTAGCATGCAAATAGGTTCTTACATACCATTTATCAATTGGTCTGCACCACTAAAGAAAAGAAAAGAAAAACCAATGGAAAGGGCTAGATGCACTGGATATTGATGCAACAATGTTCTTTGAAGCAATGCAACAATGTTCAAAGCAACAAAGCAACAATGTTCTTTGAAACATTCCTAATGGCTGGTTAACTGCACATAACTTTTGTGGAGATGCTTTGTGCTTAACTTTGTGCTCACTTGTGACCTAGCCCACAGTTGCATTGACCTGAGACAAAGGTCAGGTGGAACTGTAAAACGCACTGAGGTGCATACGAAATTTTCAAATATCATTTTATACAGGCAGGCACAGCCTTGACGTAAAATACATCACATTTGTCTCAACTGGGCTGTATCTGTCTTATCTCTGCGATCTTATCACGCCTGGCCCTGGATGTGGCTGCTCATGCAACCCACCGTAAGTTCCGAGATCCACCAATCCATGTGGTGTGAGGTATTTTTTGCTTGCCAGCTTCCACTGCTTATGTTGAACAGGTGAACCAGCTACAAACAACCTGATGCACGGTGGAATACGGCCAGTACAAGGTTTCGTTTGGCTGGGTTAGGATAGGTCGGGTCATCTGAAACTGTGAAACTACGGTCTCGTCGTTGCGGGATGCTTGATACATTTTTCGAAAGCTGCAAATGTTGTTATGTTACTAAATGTTGCACAGTGGTAAATTGTAGATGCAGTGAAATTTCTCATGTTGAGCAGAGCACACGTGGTTAGTAATTTTACGTGTAAAAAAAGGTCGGGAAAATCTTGAGAGCCCCAAATCATAAAGGCTGTGGTGCGTATACACCCTCCAAGCCAGTCTTGAACAGAAACAAAAGCAAACATGCATAATCCCACGTTAAAAGTCAGCTCAATGCGTTCTATGCATAAAATGATCCCTAAATCCACCAACCCACTCTGAGCCAGTTCTTTTGATATTACGAATTATCGGCCACCGGGCCCGCACTGCCAGCGGGCAGATGGTTAACGCGCTGATCTTGCACGTAGTACACCCGTGTTCGAATCTCAAATATATTCGCTCTTAAGTAAATAGTCAAGTGGTCTATCGCTGTGGTATGGTGACATCAAATTGCTTCATTTCCGACGGGAATAAACTCCACCTTTGGCTTTCCACATCAGACAGAAGCGTAGTTTCTAATGCCTGGGGCTAGCGATATTGAGGATCTTGTAAACGCTGGCCGTAAATCTAAATGAGGCCAGCAGCTTGTATAAACATAGGGGTCCTATTTCATTTGCTAACACGCGCCACACAATAACACGCGCCATAACAATTTGACCCCCCTCCCCGAGATCTCGGGAGCTAAGAAAGCTAGAGACACCAAATTTACAGTACGCGTTGACCTGTACGTGAACTCACTTAAGTCAAAGTTTGAGGATCCTAGGTCATGACCTTCCGGTTAAATAATGTCAAATTACCGGTTCGTCTCCGAAGTGCCCCCAGATGCCAGGTCAGTGTGGGAAAAATCTGTTTCTTGGCGGATGTTGCACCAGGAAATTTTGTACTACAGGCTCTTGACTGGCAAGAATAACAATTTTTGTACTCCAGACAAACGCTGCAGTCCGCCCCACAAAGCACAGGCACCATTACAAATGTATGAGCCGAGTATAAGTACCAAGGCAGACAGTTTTGTTTTCTCGATAGCCAGGTGGGTGCATAAACTTTGTTTTCATCAAGTGAGTTATAACTTTTATTTGATTTCCAGAGACTAAACATATGGAGCACCAAGAAATGGAAACAAGCATCTGCAATCCTGCAGGAGCTGGCCAATCCAGGGTGTTCATGTCAATGTCCTTCATCATTGTATTACGTGGGTTAGATGCACTTGTACAAGCCTATGCCACTCCCGAAGGGTGATGACAACTCATGTGAGTTACTTCTGTGGAAATGAAATAAAATGAAATATGAAATGTGCTTGTTTTAAGTACCTACCGCTGCCACATACCTCACATGTCACCTGTGGGGAAAATATACGACGCTCCTGAGCAAGCAAGACCGCATTCTTCACGACGCACACACCTACCGGTGCCTTTTTCAAGAAACGGACAAACATCACGGCGCCGGCTCCCGCCACGCGACGAACCCATAGCCTCCCTTACCCGAAACTTGTGGCAGCCCACAGTCCTGCAACTGACGAGTGCATTCTCGAGCAGTGAAGGTCCGCGTCGGAACAAAAGGACACCTAGAACAATATTCGTTCGACCGGAAAACCACTAGCAGCACCAAAATCACCAATGGCTCATCTATTTCAACTAGATCATTCAAAGACTTGCAGAGCAGGAAGTCCAGGAAGCCAACTATGCTCTTAACTTACCTCATATTAAGAAAACATGTTGCGATTTTACCAAAGGGCGTGCATTTTGCAAACGGTTTGGTGTGAAAATTCCAAAATATTGCGGCAATGAACATCCTTTTCAAAGCGCTTGTTTCATTCCTGCTCCTGCCGAACCAACCACCAATCACCATCCAACTTGCAACTAAATTGAAAATCATAGCATTCAAACGCACCACATATCGGCACTTTTAAGACAGAATCATGACATTAAATGACATCTAAATATCACGTTTGTGGGCGGCACTTTTGGTGGTAACGGCTTCTTTTAGGTTCCTAAATGTCATCGGAAATTACATTCCCAAAATGGGAGTTTGTGGCATGCAGCATTCCAAAACTTATCGTTACTATTGCATAAATGATAGTAAGTCAACCACCTCTTACGAAATCGGTAAATGCCGGCCTTTGGATATTCGAGGATATCTTACTTATTTAACAACGGTATCACGTCTCCAGGCTCAACCAGTACCTGTACTTGTAAGACAGAGATGGTCCATAACCCGGTGGGAAAAAATCGCAGCACTTGGTTGCCCTTTTCACAATGGGGCCTATGAAGAGACCTGCGGAGAACAAGCCGGAGCACAAGCCGGAGAACAGCAAGTTTTTGGCAAGGCTAGCCAAATTTTATCAACAAATTTGCGGGTTTTGGTATCGCCCAGACACGAGCCTTCCTTAGAGGGTGCTGAAATGACGTGATATGCCTTAGAATGAGAAATATCTATCGATTTGTAGTACAGGTACTGCATTATCTCGGCGTTGTCTTGCGCGACCAGAAGATAAGATATATTTATAGGTGGCAAATTACAACTTGAAATGCATGGCTGTAAAGCTCTGTGATTTTTCAACCACGAACTTAACAATTTGTGTTGGTGCAACTGGATAAATGGCTTTTCTTAGACTATTCATCACAGCCTGTCATTTCAGGAACGACCAGCGGGACTTGTACTTGGTTGGCCCCTTGACGAGTGCTAGAATGCCATCACAATGTCTGGGAATGCGCCAGAACTCCTTGCGTGGCTTGGTTGTTCGTCTTGATGTGGTGGGAGTGAGGAGGCCGGAGGGTGAGTGCAGCTGCTTGGGATTATGTGCATCGTGGTTGCGAGTTTGAGTTATTCAGTGAGGCAAATTGGAATTGGCTGCCTTCAATTTTCACACAGCATGCATCCACACTTCTAAAGTTGCTTGGGATTTAGTTTTGGACCGCTTTAAGTCATTCCAAAAAAGGTAAATAAGTACCTGGGAGCTGATCTACAAATGTTTACCACTGCAGGCCGATGCAAAATCACCTTGTTATAACCTGCCCTACCTACAGCGTGGTGGGTAGGTAGATAGGTACTAAGGTATCTATATACAACATTAATGCTAGGTTTGGGTTTCCCATGTGGGATCAAATATGAGGCTGACCTGTTTTCAGCCTGTGGTTATATTGCTGTAACATGACAGGTGGCAATGCTGCCATGTTCCTTGCTGTCAGGCATAAGGTCCTGCAGTGACACTGTTAAAATTTTCTCTGCATAGGATCATAGGGGACTTGGAGAAGAGGAGAGGGATAACAGGAGGTGCAGGAAGAGAGGAGGAATGGAAGGAGAAGAGTGACAGAAAGAGCAGAGGAGGAAATGAAAGAGGAGAAGAGCAGAAAGAGGATAATAGGAAGAGGAACACTTTTGGTATGTTTATATTAATTCTGTAAATGCCTCAAGGACTACATGTTAGTGATGTCACATACATAAGGCTTTCATAATCGGTTGCAGCTGCCTAAGAGTTATTAAAAAACCAGGGTGGCATGCAAAGTGTCTGTCCACAACTCAGTTTATCAGTAAGCAGAGATGCATCTGATTTATCATTTTGATATTGTGTAAGTTTGCATGTAGATGGGTAATGATATGTAAATGAGCTTTGTATGATGCACATGTGAATGTATATGCATAAAGTTTTGTTGTTAACCTCTCTTACTGTATACTTCTCATTAACACATACCCTTGATCAATATTTGCGTGTATAGGCGAGCTAGTAGCACTACCCAGATATGGATGGGATCAGCGCGGCGCCCTCATTCACAAGAAGTGCTCTGTTCCACTGAAATGCAGAATGGCATGCTGACACTAATTTTGGCCAGAAAAACACTGGGAAAATGTTGATGCATTAAAGGCAGTGTGTAATGTACTCCAACCAAGGCCCATTGTGCAGACACTCATTCCACATCAGACAGACTTCTGCTTGCAGACAAATTTGTACTCCGACCGCGAAAATTTTTGTACTCCGCCACCAGCAAAAAAAAATTTAAATTTCCCACCCTGTGTCAGGTAACTGTTTCCACGCAATCACATGCTCAGTTAACGTCAGTGACCTTGTTTGACCTTTCAAAGTCCTAGTGACCAAAATCATACAAGACCACCCTGAGTTTTGCATTTGAATAAAGGACAAACATTACGCTAAGCAGTATGTTCCTAAAAATAAAATGCTAACCCGGGTCATTTTATGACAATGACCTATTGTGACCTCCAAGACGTCCATGTAAGATGTATAATGCGGTTCCTGCTATCAATTCATTCAAAATGAGCACCAGAAACTATCCCATACAGCAAGTCCTAGAGTAGTCAAACAGGTTGGTTTTGACCTTGGTCTGACCTTTATACCTGACCCTAGGTGAACGTAATTTGCTCATTCAATATTTGTGTTGCCTAAGAAAGCATCTCAGATATGTATGGCTTCGTCTAATACTGCGCTGTTGCTTCAGATTGAACGATTACACAGAAATTGACTTTGCTGAAAACATGGCCTGGCTTTGACCTGCCATAGGTCAGTAAACTTACAGGGAACATCTAAATTTCTGATGCCAAACGATCCGCCATTCAACTGTCTAAAGCTATGCAAAATTTGGCGTGGTTACACCGCGCCGTTCGGAAACCATTCTGGAAAAACCTTCGGGGGATCAGTTTGACCCCCACCCCAGCGCGTGTTAATGTTCAACCGCAGGTCGAAATCAATCAGTAAAAAGTTAGGTGCCCACTACCCTTCCCAGCAATTGCTGAAGGGAATGTCCCACATTTGTAGGGGGTTTTGAACTGAAATAGGCATCTTGGGGACCTTTTGATGCAGTTCACGGCCATGTCCTTTTTAAGACCCAAAAGGCTCTGATTTGAGTTACCTGAGCGCAAGGTCACTCTCCCGAATGCCATGGAAAAAGAAAATGTGACAGCAGGTCTGTCTTTTTCCCCTGTTGGCGTTTTTTTCATTTTCTTTGGCCTATTTCTCACAGACAACCCGGTTGGCGCCTTGTGCGCCGGGGAAAAAAACCTTGCACGGGTTGATAGGTTAATGAGGGATTACAACATTAGGACAGCATTACACGATATATATACATATATATATATATATATATATATATATATATATATATATATATATATATATATATATTACTAAATACTCCACACAGATTGTACAACTTTAAACCTTGAACCAAAAATTGTGTCCTACAAATACAACCTCTTCAGCTGCATTACCATGAATCCCCGTTGGGACTT